CCCCAGGACCTGGGAGGGAAGTAGGACAGCCCTTGGGCTCCCTCTGCTGTAGATGAGGAAACAGAGTTAGCAGAGGCTAAGTGATTTGAGAGCATCGCCTGCCTCATAAGTGCCTGGCGAGATCCCAGGTGTATCTTAGGAGCTGCTTTTCCTGTTTTGTGAGCAGCTGATGGATGTAAGACATGGTGGTGCTGTGCAGGTGAGGCAGGGACTGGAACACAGTGCTGGGCATGTTCCAGGGATGCTGACAGGTTGAGCCAAGCCTAGACCTGCACTAGTATATTTATTTAAACATATATCTATATATAAATTTGTAAAATAAATTAAATCTTTTATATATTGTGTTGAATAACATATTTCAAACTTAATTTCACCTGGCTAGGTGTAGGGTAGCTCACGCCTGCAATCTTAGCACTATGGGAGGCCAAGGCACGTGGATCACTTGAGGTCAAGAGTTCGAGACCAGGCAAGCCAACACAGCAAACCCCCATCTCTACTAAAAATACAAAAATTAGCCAGGCATGGTAGTGTGTGCCTGTAATCCCAGCTACTAGGGAGGCTGAGGCAGGAGGATCACTTGAACCCAGGAGGTGGAGGCTGTAGTGAGCCAAAATGGCACCACTGCAGTTCAGCACTTTGTCTGCACTCCAGAGTGAGACCCAGCCTCGAAAAAAAAATTTTTTTTTCACTTGTTTCTTTTTCCTCATTTGATGTTATTAGAAAATTCCAAACTATATATGTACCTTGCAGCATATAAATTTCTGCCCCCACAATGTCCCCCACCATCCCCTGCTTTTCTCCAGCCTCAGTCTTTCTCCCCGTCCCTAAACAGTGGAGTGACAGCCTGTTGGCTGCTTTCCACTGTGGCTGTGGGGCCCCGGGAAAGTCTGGATCTGCAGTGGCTCAGGTGCCCGAGTGCTTCTGGGAGCTCTGGGCCACGGCTATTGGCCTCCCCGTCTCCCAGCTCTCCAGAGGCCTGTGGGCCTATTTGACTTCCCCTGGCTACCGCCTGTAGAGGTCAGAATGGAGTGAAGTGGACTCGCTCCGCCGTGGTAGAGCTGCATTCCTGACCATGTGTGCCCCAGGCACTAGTTCAGGCATGGTGGGGCTGGGGGGGTGGGGGGGGAGGGGGGATCTCTGAGCTTTTTGTCCACCCAGCTACGGCCTGTGCTTGGGCTTTCCCATCAGTTTTGTCCTATCCAGTGTTTTCCTTTATTTTATTTTGTTTGTGTTTTGTTTTGAGACAGGGTCTCACTCTGTTGCCTAGGCTAGAATGCAGTGATGATCACAGCTTACTGCAGCCTTGACCTCTTGGGCTCAAAAGAGCGTCTTGTCTCACCCTCTCCAATAGCTGGGACTATAGATGCAAGCCACTATTACAAAAAAATTTCTGTAGAGATGGGATTCTTCGTATATTTCCCAGGCTGGTCTCAAACTCCTGGCCTCAAGTGGCCCTCCTACCTCAGCTTCCCAAAGTGCTGGGATTACAAGCCACCGTGCCTGGCTGTATTTTCCTTTAATATACAACACATGAATGTACTTACTTTTTGCCACACTTTTAAAGTAAGGCTGATGACTATGAATCAGAAATTTGTTTCCAAAAATTTGTTGTTGCTGTTGTTTTGAGATGTCCTGGCCAAATGGTTGATAGTTGCGGGGTGTTTTTTTTTTTTTTCTCTTTATGAAAGTTATATTTACATTTCAGATTGGGTGCAGTGGCTCATGCCTGAAATCTCAGCACTTTGGGAGGCTGAAGTAAGAGGACTGCTTGAAGCCAGGAGTTTGAGACCAGTCTGGTCAACATAGTGAGACCTTATCTCTACCAAAAATAAAAATTAGCCTGGCATGGTGGCAGCACCTGTAGCCCCAGCTACTTGGGAGGCTGAGGTGAGAGGATCCCTGGAGCCCAGGAGGTCAAGACTGCAGTGAGCCATAACTGCACACTGCACTCCAGCCTGAGTGACAAAGTGAGACCCTGTCTCTAAAAAATAAAAAGTTTAACGAGTTATATTTGCATTTCAAAACCTATTGATCCATTCAAGGACTCCCAGTTTATTCTGAAACCCTGACTGTGGCCCTTGGCACCTGGACAACTAGAAAAGTGATTTTCTTTGGCAAATGTACCATAGCCTTCTTTTCTCCCTGTTAATGGAAGAGTATGGGTTTTGGAATCAGACAGACCTGATTTTCAGCTCTAGCTTTGGCACTAACTCTCTGGGAGACAGTCGATGAGCAAGTGTCCTAGCCTCAGTTTCCTATAGGTAAAAGGGAGAAAGTATCTGTCTCATTGTAAGCATGAAGTGAAATAATATGTATAAAGTGCCTAGTAGCATGCTTTGAGCTTAGCAGGTATTGTATTCAATAAATGTGACTCAGGCCAGGTGTGGTGGCTCACACCTGTAATCCCAGCACTTTGGGACACCAAGGCAGGCGGATCACCTGAGGTCAGGAGCTCAAGACCGGCCTGGCCAACATGACGAAACCCTGTCTCTACTAAAAATATAAAAATTAGCTGGTTGTGGTGGCGGGTGTCTGTAATCCCAGCTACTCGGGAGGCTGAGGCAGGAGAACTACTTGAGCCCAAGAGACGGAGGTTGTAGTGAGCTGAGATTGTGCACTGCACTCCAGCCTGGGTGACAGAGTGAGAATCTGTCTCAAAAAAATAAAAGTAAATAAATAAATATGACTCCAAGAATGTCACCTCCTTTGCATGAGTATTGGCCGTACCTCTTATACCTGAGGTACGGGAGTTTGAGACCAGCTTGGGCCACAATCCATCTAACTGTCTGATCTTTATGGAGACAGCATTGGCAACCTGCTTCCGGAGTGTTGAGATATATCTGTCCTTTGCTATTAAAGATAGTCCAGCTCAAGCAGCAACTCCAGGAAAGCTGTCAGAGACGTGCACAAAGCCATGTTTCAGGGTGTCTGTAGCACTATTTATAAAGTAAATCTTTATAAATCTTGTTGCTTGGAAGCAACCAACAAGAGAGATTCGTTAAATAAATTAGAAAATGACTATAGGATGTACAATCACGTTCTTGAATAATATTTTAAGGACATGGGAAAGTTTGCATGATATGGGAATTGATGGGAAAAAAAGAGAATACACAATTATTTGTAGTGGGTTCATAACACTGTAAACCAGAAAACTGTGTACACATAGGAATTGGCTGAAAATACACCAACATGTTAGCAGTTGCTGTAACTGGGTGAGGTTACAGGTGACTGTTGTTTTCTTCTTTTTAATGTTTTTCTGTATTTTAAAATTTCTATAACAAACAATTATTTTAAAAAAAAAAAAAAAAAAAAAAAAAAAAAAAAAAAAAAAAAAAAAAAAAAAAAAAACCACTGTGTGTGTGTTTATTCCAGGTCTTATCATCATGGAAGAAATGTTTTCTTTAAATTCTATTTATAAGGAGGTAAGTTCCTTGTGTAGAAAAACTATGCCTTTTGGTGGAGAAAAAAATTCCTCATTCAAGTTGTTAAAATATTAAAGGCATTTTTTACTCTATTTAAATTCCTGGGTCCATTGCTGCTGTGGAAACTATTGTAATGGATAATCTATAAAAGGACAAATGAAACTATTAAAAATTACTGAATGTACATGCTATGGTAAAAAAAATATATATTGTACAGTGTATGTAATAAACCTCTCCCCTCCCCAAGAAATAATCACTGTTAAGTTTCTTATATATTCTTCCAGAAGGTTACCATGCATACACCAACCTATATGTGTATTTTTATTTAGTTTTATAGAAAAGAATGTTATATATTTTATAATCTTTAAAAAACATTTTATTAATGTATAATTCACATACAATTCCCTCATTTAAAGAGCATAGTTCAGTGACTTTTGTTTTTCTTTTTATGCATGTGTGAGATGGTCACAGAGGTCTCACTCTGTTGCTCAGGCTCAAATGTAGTGACATGACCTCAGCTCACTGCAGCCTTGACCTCCCAAGTTCAAGCAATTCTGCCACCTCAGCCTCCCTAGTAGCTGGGACTACAGCCATGCACCACCATGCCTGGCTAATTTTTTAATTTTTTGTAGAGATGAGTTTCACCATGTTTCCCAGGCTGGTCTCAAACTCTTGGGCTCAAACAATCTGCCTGCCTCGGCCTCCCAAAGTGCTGGGATTACAGGTGTGAGTCGCCATGCCCAGTTCAGCTCAGCGATTTTTAAGGTAAATTTATAGAGTTGTACAACCATCACCACAGTCCAGACACTCACCATGGTGCTTTCTCACCCAACATTGCTTCTTGAAGAAGGCTCTGCATACGTGGGTATGGAGCTCATCGTTTTCAGTGGTTTGCTGGTTTTCCCATCACATGGATGGACCGTCGTTTATATGGATATATCTATATCTATATTTGTCCAAAAGAAAGGAAATCAGTAAATTGAAGAGATATTTGCACTCCTGTTCATTGCAGCACTATTCATGATGGCCAAGATATGGAATCAATGTAAGTGCCATCAATGGATGAAGAAAGAAAGAAAATGTGACCTATATACACAATGGAATATTATTCAGCTATAAAAAATGATAAAATCCTGTCATTTGCAGCAACATGGATGGAATGGTGATCAACATGCTATGTGAAATAAGCCAGGCACAGAAAGACAAATGCCACATGATTTCACTCATGTGGAAGCTAAAAACAAAAGTGGATCTCATGGAGCTAGAGGGTAGAATGATAGTTAACAGAGGCTGGGAAGGGGGGCTGGGGGAGATGAGACAATTTGGCTAATGGGTACAAACATACAGCTACACAGAGGGAATATCTAGTAGCTGATAATACTGCAGGGGAATTATAATTAACAATAACTTATTGCATATTTCAAAATAGCTAGAAGACTTATAATGTTCCCAACATTATAAGATAAATGGTTGGGGTGATGTGTATTCTAATGGCCCTGATTTTCCCTTTACATGTTGTATACATGCAATAAAAATATCACCTGAGGCTGGGCGTGGGGCTCACGCCTGTGATCCCAGCACTGTGGGAGGCGGAAGTGGAAGAAGAGCTTGAGGCTGGGAGTTTGAGACCAGCTTGGGCCACAGAGGGAGATCCTGCCCCAAAAGAAGAGAGGTCGGGGAGGGGCAGGGGCGGGGGGGGGAGAATAAAAAACGAATTAAATTCTTAAAAAAACACATGTACCCCCAATATATGTACATCTATAATGTATCAATAAAAAAAATACTCCAACAATGAGAAAAACCAAAGCAAAATGGAGGACGGTACACTTGGACAGTGACCGGGGACCGCGCGTCCTGAGCCCGTTGTGTTCGGGTCTCGTCCTCTCTTGGAATTCCGCGGTGGGCCAGCAGGTGGCGCTTGTGCTCCCCGTGGCCGCGATCCGTGAAACTGGATTTAATATAGTAACCTGATGTTGCTCTGAACATATAATTTTCAAACCTTCCAGTCCACCACAAGGAAAACCTCCGAGGATTTTCTTCTGGGAAGAGCAATTAGCCTAACCTCTTAGGAGGAGAAATTGCATCTCTGAGCTTGTCTGGGAAAGTAACATGCCCTCCCAAGAGCAGTCTTGGGGAGGGCAGAGAGAAACCACGGAGCAGCCTGTGGGAAGAGGAAGGGGTGCTGGAGAAGGAAGGGCTGGGAACTGCAGCGTAGGATTTGGGGCTTGGGGTGGGCAATATCCTAGGTCTGAGGACAGCCTGAGCCTGAGGGCTTCCGGGCTTACGCTGGAGGGTAGCAGAGAGACCGAATAGGTGCAAGATCACTTGGGTGTGCTGAAGATGCTTCGCCCAGCCCAGGCCAGGCTGGGAGACCCCCTCCCTCGCCTACCTACTGTGGCTAAATGCCAGGCCCTGGTGACACAGCCGTGACAAGACGGGCCTGGTCCCTGACCTACAGAGCCTGCAGCGCAAGGGGGGAATAGCAGCCACCAGGATCTAAGGGGGTTGTTGAAGGTGTGTTTGGGGTGGGAGATGGGCAGCTTTCAGGGGTCTCCTCCAAGTCAAGGGGGCCAGGCCACTGCCCAGGTTCCAGACGCCCTGGGATGGGGAGACTAGACTGGAAGGAGCCATCGGAGTAGGGATAAGCTGAACCAGGGCAGGGGGAGACAGCGGCCGCTGGGGGTCACGGGGCAAGAGCAGGGAGTTCCGAGATGGGGGATGCCCTGAGCCTGTGGGAGAGGAGAGTGGCGCCCCGTGCCGTGGTCACAGATGAGGCTGGGAGGGGTGTGTCCTATTTTGAAGAAGAGGCCTTGCTTTGGCAAAGGCTATAATTGGGAAGAGAAAGAGAGAGAGAAAGAAGAAAGGAGACAGAAAGGGAAGAGATAAAGAGAATTATTTGGTCTCTACCCTGTAGAACAGTGTCATCTCGGTGGAAGGTGAAAACATGCCAGTGTACAAGTGCGTGCCCGCGCACACGCGCGCGCGCGCACACACACACACACACACACACACACACAGTTACCACAAGATTGTCAGCAACTGGAGCAAAGGGAAGCACCCAGATGGCTAAGCCTCTGCGACCTTGGGCAAATACTTAACCTCCCTAAGGTTTCTTCATCTGTAAATCGGGAGCAATACTAGTATTGACCACAGAGGGCTGTTAAGAGGATTAAGCACAGTAATGCTTGTGGAGCATGCAGCGTAGTCCCTGGCAGTAGTAAGGCCTCACGAGGGATTGTTATTGTTGTTACTCATCATGATCATTAATATCAGTTGTCATCTACTGGAAAAGGAGGGATAAGAAAAGGTGGGATATGGATGGGCACAGCCAAGTCAAGTGCACGGTATGGGGAAAGCAAACCAAGCTGGAGAAGAAAGAGCTCGTGAGAACAAAGGTGAAGAGGTAGAAGGGTGAGATTCTAAGTCCTTGCTACTCAAAGTGTGGTCTGAAGACTTACCAGCAGCAGCAGCAGCACCTGGGCACTTGTTAGAAGTGCAGAATCTCAGGCCCCTGCCCAGGTCTACCCACTCAGAATCTGCATCTTTTCAAGCTGTTCAGGTGATTTGTTTGCATGGGGGAGTTTAAGAAGCACAGCTCGCAGCCATCTCAGCCGTAACTCATGGGAGTAAACCATGCTGGTGTCACAGACGCAGCAGCAGAGAGAAGCCTAGAGAGGGATGGGAACCAGTCGGTACATGTCCCTGACATAGTTCCATATGCAAGTTACTGCCCAGGATTCAATATTTATTACATTCTCTTTGAGGTAAAATATATACAATGAAATATGTATATGAACTGTACCTCTGAGTTTTAACAAGTGCACATCTACCAATGTAAACTTGGACTCCAGTCAAGATATAAAGCCTAACCAGCCACCCAGAAAGTTTCCTCGTACCTCTTCCTAATCGATCCCTGCTCCAGTTCCTAGAGGCAGCAGTTGTTTTGACTTATTTTCCGCAACATAAATTACTTGGCCAGTTTTAGAACTCCGTATCCATGGAATCATATGATAGGTACTCTTGTGCAACCCTTCATTTATGCAGCATAATGCTTTTAGACAGAGCTGTGTCACTGTGTGTATCAGTCATCTGGCCCTTTGTATTGCTGTGTGGTATTCCGTTGTATAGGTGCATTGCAGTTTGTTCATCTACTACGCTGTTTCTGATTTTTGGTTATTGCAAATTAGGCTGCTAGGAAAATTCCTGTATGTCTTTTTGTGATCATACATTTACATTTCTCTTGGATAAATACCTAGAAGTGGAGTTGCTAGGTCATAGGGTAGGTTATGTTTAGTTTTATAAGAAACCACCAGCCCTATTACAGAGTGGCTGTGCTACTTTATGCTTTTACCCACTGTATTAATGAGCTCAAGCTGCCATAACAAAATACCATAGGCAGGATGGCTCAAACAACATTTACTTTCTCACAGTTCTGGAGGCAGGAAGCCCCAGGTCAGGGTGCCAGGGTGAGGGCTTTCTTCCAGCCAAGAAGGTCGCTGCCATCTTGCTGCATGCTTACATGATCTTTTTTTAGTGTGTGAGTGCAGGGAGGGAGACAGAGAGAGAGGGGGAGAGGAGGGAGAGGAAAAAGAGGGAGAGGGAGAGAGAGAGACAGAGACAGAGAGACAGAAAGAGAGAGAGAGAGAGCGTGCTCTTCAGTGCCTTTTCTTATAAGGACATTAATCCTGTTGAATCAGGGCCCACCAGCCTTTATGACTGTATTTAACCTTAATCTTAATCTTAATGGTCCTATCACCAAATACAGCCACACTGGAGGTTCCGACATCTGAGATCTGGAGGGACACAATCAGTCTGTAACACCAACAATGTGTGAAAGTTCCCATTTTGTCAGGTATTTTAATTTTAGCTATTCCTGTGGGTGTACAGGATATTTCATTGTGGTTTTATTTTACAGTTCCCTGATGACTAATAATACTGATGATCTTATTTTTTCCATTTTAAAAATTGTGGTAATATACACATAACATAACATTTACTAACTTAACCATTTTTTTTTAAACAGGATCTCACTCTGTTGCCCAGGCTGGAGTGCAGTGGGACAATCATGACTCACTGCAGCCTCGACCTCCAGGGCTCAAGCAATCCTCCTGCCCAGCCTCCCAAATAGCTGAGCAGCTGGGACACAGCTGCACACTACCACAATTTATTATGGTAGACACAGTGTATTGTGGCTAATTATTTTTATTTTTATTTTTGTAGATGCAGGGTCTCCCTGTGTTGCCCAGGCTGGTCTTGAACTCCCAGCTCAACTGATCCTCATGCCTCAGCCTCTCAAAGTGTTGGGATCATAGGTTAAGTTGAGGCCATCATGCCCAGCCTCATCTTAACCATTTAAGTGTATAGTTAGTGGTATTAAGGGCATTCATAATGTCGGGCAACCAGTCACCACCATCTGTCTCTATAACACTTTTTATCTCGTAAAACAAATGCTATACTCCCTAAACAGTAATTCCCCATGCCTCCCTGTCCTAGCCTTGGAAACCAACATTCTACTTTCTGTCTCCATGGTTTTGACTACTGCAGGTACTTCATGTAAGTGGACTCATATATCATTTGTCCTTCTGTGACTGGCCTATTTCACGTAGCAAAATGTCTTCAAGGCTCATTCATGTTGCGGCATATGTCAGAGGGTTTTTTTAAGGCTAAATAATATTCTATTACATGTATATACCACATTATGCTTCTCCATTCATTCATTGATGGACACTCAGGGTGCCTTCACATTTTAGCTATTGTGAATAATGATGCTATCAACATGGTGTACAAATATCTGAGACCCTTCTTTCAATTCTTTTGGGTATATACCCAGAAACGAAGTTGCTGGATCATATAATAATTCTATTTTTAATTTTTTGAGAAACAGTAGACACATCATTTTGCATTCCCACCAACATTGCACAAAGGTTCCAATTTCTCCACATTTTCAGCAACACTTGTTATTTTCTGTTTTTTTAATAGTGACCATCTTAATGTGTATGAGTGGTATCTCATTATAGTTTTGATTTGCGTGTCCCTAATTAGTGTGTTCATCTGTTCTTGCATTGCTATAAAGGAATCCCTGAGCCTGGGCAATTTGTAAAGGAAAGCAGTTTAACTGGTTCACTGCTCTGCAGGCCGTACAGGAAGCATGGCACTGGCATCTGCTCAGCTTCTGGTGAGGCCTCAGGAAGCTTTCAACCATGGTGGAAGGTGAAGGGGCAGCAGGCATGTTACATGGTGAAAGTGGAGCAAGAGAGAGAGGGCGGAGGTGTCACACACTTTCGAACAACCAGCTCTCTCATGAACTCAGAGCAAGAACTCACTTATCTCCAAGGAGACGGCACTAAGCCACCCCACCCAGTGGTGCGACCTCCCACCAGGCCCACCTCCAACACTGGGGATTACATTTCCACATGAGATTTGGATGAAACAGACATCCAAGCCATATTATTCCACCCCAGGCCCCCTAAATATCATGTCCTTCTCACATTGCAAAATACAATCATTCCCTGCCAGTAGTCTCCAAAAGTCTTAACTCATTCCAGCTTCAAGTCCAAAGTCCTTTCTCATCTGAGTCTCATCTCCTTCCATCTCTCTGCCCATACAATCAAATAGTTATTTACTCCCAAGATAAAATGGCAGTACAGGCATTGGGTAAACATTGTCATTCCAAAAGGGAGAAATTTGTCAAAAGAGACTAAAGGCTCCATGCATATCTGAAACTCAATAGGGCAGACATTAAACCTCAAAGCTCCCAAATAATCCTTAACTTCATGTCCTGTATCCAGAACACACTGGTGCAAGGGGTGGACTCCCAAGGCCTCAAGCAGCCTTGCCTCTGTGGCTTCGCAAGGTGCAGCCTCTGTGTCTGCTCTCACAGGTTGAGGTTGAGTGCCTGTGGCTTTCCCAGACTCAGGATGCAAGCTGCCCATGGCTCTACCATCCTGGGGTCTGCAGGGCAGTAGACCCCTTCCCACAGCTCCACTAGCCAGTTCCCTGGTAGGGACTCTTATGCAGGGCTCCAACCCTACCTTTCCCCTTGGTGCTGCCCTAGTAGAGGTTCTCCATAAGGGTTCTACCCCTGCAAGAGGCTTTTGCCTGGACACTCAGGCTTTCTGATACATCCTTTGAAATCAAGCAGGAAGCTGGCAGCTTCCTTTA